ACTCAGGTGCCATTAGACTCAAGGCCATGATGCCTCATCTTTGTTTTCTCATAAGACTCAAAAACTCTTCCACACACTGAATCCTGAGACCTCCCTAACCCGTCCTCCTTGCTGAATGTTGTTGTCAAGTGCAGCCCACAACAAAAACACCTACAGGTGGTTTCCTCATCCTGCATCCAGCATCCTCATCCTCACACTCCGCACCAGCTCACCGTGCAGCATGGGACACACAGAGCAGGGGAGTCAGTACAGAGAGAACAAGATGATGTGCAGATAACTCCCACAGCTGAGGACCATAACTAACATTTATTGCACACGTTTCCAGCATTGAAGGAAATACACCGAAAGGAACAGATTCTCAAAATGCCAGCAACCAGAACAAGGAAGGCTCAGAGCACAGATGGAAGTCTGCTCCTCATCTTCCATTACCTCGCTGTCACATCAGTGCCACACAGGCACAGCCTGCCTTCCTGGTGCAGTGCAGCGGGGTACAGACGTACCAGAGAACTGCAGGGGAGAGAGCAGCCCCCAGAAGGCACTGCAGGCACCCAAACCTCATGGGCTGGGAACCATCCCGGCGCTTTGTTACTACGCCCTGCACGCTGTAAGCTTCCGTACCATTCGTTTATTTGCACAACACAGCTAAAAGTCTCCACCAGGAACAAAAACAGTCAAGGAGAAACAGCACCCACCTCAGCAGATCATCGGAGCTGGACAAGAACCACCCAAACCCAATCCTCAGTCACCTCCCAGGGCCACGAGCATCCTGAGACACGGGGAGCTGCCCGTCCCCAGGTGTCCCCGCAGGCACTGGGTGCCCCGGGCAGCCCACCTCCACAGCACAGCTGGCAGGAACCCACCAGCCCTGTCCCAGAGCACGCAGCATTACCTCTTTCTTCCTCCTCTTGATTTTGGCCGCCTTGCAGTCTTTCAGCTTCTTGCATTTCTTTTTTTTCTGCGCAGCAACTCGCTCCTCCGCGAAAAACTCCTCCAGCCCTTCCAGGACCCCATCATCATCTTCTGAGGACGAGAAGGACAACTCACGTGGGCGGCCTCCCCGCGCACAGCTCAGCTTCGCCCTCCCTGCGCAAACCCGCAGCCGCTCAGCGCCGCGCCCTCGGAGGAGCGCCGACAGCCCGCGCCGGAGCTCAGCGCCCGGCCGAACCCACGGACACCGGGACGCGGCAGCACCGCCGGCCCCACGGGGCGAGCCGAGCGCCGCTTCCACCTTTACCTCGCACGGCTCCCGGCACGGCCCGTTAGAACGGCCCGCAGCGAGGCGTCCAACAGGCGTCGGCCGCACCGCGCGCCTTCCTCACCGCCCGCCCCTCATTCACACCCCGTCCTTCTTCAAGCCGCCCTCGGCGTCAACCGCGCCGCAGCGCAGCGTCGAGGGCCGGGAGGGCAACGCGGCAGCGCCCGTCAGACCCCGGCCCCGCGAACGGCGCGCACACGCCCGGCCCTCCCTTCCCCCCCCCTCCCCTCCTCCGCCCCGCCGCCCACCCGACACGTCCTCATCGTTGTCCGCCTCCTCCAGCAGCTCCTCGCCGGCCGCCGGGCCCCGCATGCCGGCCGGGCGCGGCCCCTCCGCGCCAAGATGGCGGCCGGCGGCCCCGCCCCGTGACGTCACGCCCCGCCCCCCCCCCCCCCCCCCAAGTCCCCATCGGCCGGAACGCAGCGGTAACAATTCTTTCCCACAATTTATTCAGGAAAATGTACAAAACGTTTCCGGCTCCGCTTTAGTCCTCCTCCTCCTCCTCCTCCTCGTCCTGGTTGATTTGGAAGTAGCGCAGCTCGTAGCTCTCCTTGCTGTTGGCCACCACACGCAGCCAGTCACGGAGGTTGTTCTTCTTCAGGTATTTCTTGGTCAGGTACTTCAGGTACCTGTGGGACAGAGCGGCTGGGCCAGCGCACGGCAGCACCCCAAGGGTGGGCTGCCCGGCCCCGCTCACCTCCCCCAGCCACAGCCAGCAAAGGAGCGCCCACCTCCAGGCCCCCCACCCAGTGCTGCCCTCAGCCCCCCTGGGGAATGCGTGGATTCTGTGTGCAGACACCACAAATGATCCCCACCTGGCCAACCCCCCCCTCAGGCTGGCAGCCACCACCTCCCCCTGCCCTCCAGGAGGGGGAAAACAAGACCCTGGTCCCTGTGTGCTTCAGCAGCCCCCAGGATGCGCTGAGCTGAGCATCACAGTGACACCAGCAGCACCATCACACACCAACCTCTTCCCACTGCTCCAAACCTCCAGATCCCCCACTTGCTATCTCCACCCACAGAAAAAAAAAATTTAAAAAACAAAAACAAAAAAACCCAACATTATCAAGGCCAGATAAGAGACAAATGTCAGGCAAGAGCCAGGCAGACGGCCAGCAGTATGAGAGTAAGGAGGCTGTAATGGAACAGCCTGGATACATACCAGGCACGGCCACACAGGTAAAGGCCAGGACTGCCTGCCTGCCACCTCAAAACACCAGCAGGATGCTAAAGGTGAGGCTCACAAAGGAGCACCCCGCTCCAAATTGCGCTCCTGTCAGTTGTGCATCCCACACAGCCGTCCTGCTGAGGTTTCTCAACCACATCTGTCTTAATCACTCAGTCATTGCACCTATCTGCACACGGTGCTTCACCAGGTCAGCCCACCTTGATGCCAAGCACCACTTTATCACTTAGTGCTTCCTCACGCATTCCCATTTTAGAGGTTCAGATCTTGCACCTCTGGCACTAACGACGCCATCCTCACCAAGCACTGCAACCCCAGAAAAACAAAGCGCCTCCTCATGACACACATCCACAGCAGCGCACAGGGAAAACCCAGAGCACAGCTCAATTCCATTATAAGCAAAGGACCCGCAGCCCTCACTGCCCAAACACCCAGCAACCGGCACACATTGCCCAGTGCTGCGGTCCCAGGGCTGTGCAGTGCAGCCTCACACAGCCCAGGGCTCAGCACAGCCCACAGCCCTGTCCTGCAGCACCCACCACGTTCTCACCTCTTGGAGAAGGGCACCTCTGAAGTAACAGTGATCTTGCTTTTGCTCCTCTCGATGGTCACCACGCCACCGCCCAGGTTTCCAGCCTTCCCGTTCACTTTGATCCGCTCCTGTAAGAACTGCTCCTGTAGGAGGGAACAGACGCGCAGTCAGGGCTGCTGGCAGCTGTTCACGCTCAGCACTTCAGTGCTTTGGCCAGAACTAAGAGGAGGCAAAGGACCACGTGCCACTGAAGAGCAAAGGAAAGCCTTCCCCTGTGGGCCTGGATCCTCTCACATGGGCAAACATTACAGCTCACACCGACCCAGTCACACCTGCACAGAAGGGACACACTAAAGGCCAAGTGACCACAGCACTGCAATAAGATGACATCTCCTACGTTGTGAGCAGAGCAAGGCATGTTCTGATTTCTCTTGGACTCAACGACCCTTGCAGGTCCTTTCCAAATGAAGTATTCCCAAAAGACACTTCATCACAAACCCACACCTCAGAGACGTGCCTGAACGCAGCAACAAACAAAGCCTGACTGCAAGCAGCCATCAACCAGTGATGGAACGCGGTGCTCTCCTCCAGTGCTGCTCCTCAAAGCCCACTGTGAAATAAAGCCTCACAGAGACTAAATAGCGCTCACAGATAGGCACATGCTTTAGCTGCAAGCTGCAAAGCAGCAATAAACCTCCACCAGCACCCAGCACTGAGGCTCCAGGCTGCCCAAGGAGTGCAGAGCAGCGAGAGGAGCACAGGGCTCACACACTGCAGGCCGCGGGCGGCCCCAGCACTCACAAAGTTGGCGGCGTCCATGATGCCATCCTCCACCGGGTGCGTGCAGTCCAGCGTGAACTTCAGCACCTGCTTCTTTTTTTTGCCACCCTTCGCCGCGGGTTTCTTCTGCGGGACGGGGAGAGAGAAAAGTCGTGAGGATCGACGAGGGAGGAACCGGGGGCAGACAAAAGGGACGGGGTGAGGGCAGCCGGGAGCGGCAGGCGGTTCGAGGAGGGAAACAGGGCCAGGGCAGGAGCCCCGCACCGCCCGCACCGCCCGAGCCCGGCGGAAGGGGGAGGCGGAGGCCCGGGCCCAACACCACGCGTAGGTCCGAGCTGCGCCGGGCCGGGCCGGGCCCCCCGAGAGCGAAGCCGGGCGGACCGGAGAAGCCGGGCGGACCGGAGAAGCCGGCCGGGCAGAGCGGGGGGCGGCCCAGAGCGGACAGGAAGGCGAGGAGCGCGGCGAGCACTCACCACAGGCGCCATGGCGGCTCCAGCGAGGAGCAAAAAGGGAGCGCCTCCCCGCCCGCATGCGCGGAAGCTCTCTCGGGCGGCCACCGCGCACGCGCCGCCCCCCGCACCGCTTGCGCCCACGCCGCCGCCGGGCCGCGCGCAGGGAGAGCGGCTGCGCGCGCCGTGCGTAGGCAGCGCCGAACGATCGCCGGAACGATCGATGGATTCCGGCCGCTGCGCGCCGCTGGGCCCCGCCCGCTCGTGTCTCTGCCGGCGGGCGGCGCGGCCTGGCCGAGGCCGGGGGCCGCGGGGGGGGCGGGGCCGCCGGCTGGGGGCGGGGCCGGGGCGAGGGGGCGGGGCCCGGATCCCGCCGGCAGCGGCCACGTGCGTGCGGCGGGGCGCCGCGCCCCGCACCGGGCGGGTGTGCAGTTACGGTGCGGGCGCGTCCCCTCGGCGACACGGAGCAGCCGAGGATCAACCCGTCACGAGGGACACCCCGTGAAGGGGAACGTTCCGTCACTGGGGTCACCCCGTCACCGCGGAGCACCCCGACGTGGGGATCGCCGTGTCACGAGGGACGGTCCCACTGGAAGGGACGCCCCAGTAACGGGGATGCCCTAAAGACAGCGACGCCCCAATGACGGGGACACCCGTCGCGGGGTCACCCCACACGAGGCCCCATCCCAAGGCCGTGTTCCCGGCGGCATTGCCCCCCCCCCGCAGCCCGCGGAGCCGCCCCGCGAGGCCCGCGGTTAAAAATAGCCGGGCCGGGAGGATCCGCCCCGCGGCGCTGGGGCCGGCGGCGGGGCAGGGGCTGCCGATGGCGGGCGGTATCTTCTCCCCGCTGGGGAGCTGCGCGGAGCTGGAGCAGGGCGCCTGGCACCCGCTGGTGTGCCTGCTGTGCCACGGCCCCTTCCAGCAGCCCTGCCTGCTCGACTGCTACCACGCCTTCTGCGCCAGCTGCCTGCGGGGCCGCGCCGCCTCCGGCCGCCTGCGCTGCCCCCTCTGCGGGTACGGCCACGCGGGACGGCGCGGTGCGTGAGGGCTGCCCCGCGAGTCCCGCCCCGCGCCGGTGCTCAGCCCGCCCCTTCCCTCAGGCATCCCTCGGTGGTGCGGGGCGGCACGGGGCTGCCACCCGTGGACCGCCTGCTTCAGTTCCTGGTGGACAGCTCGGCGGAGGGCTCGGAGGACGCGCAGTGCGCCAACTGCGACCGGCGGTGCGCCGAGGCGGTGAGGAACCGGCAAAGCTCGGGACCCCGCTGTGACTTTGCCACCGACGCCGCCGCCACCGTCCCTGTGCCCGCAGGACTTGGACACCATGTGCTTCTGCAACACCTGCAGCCAGCCGCTGTGCGCCCCGTGCCGCGAGGAGACGCACCGCGCCAAAGTCTTCGCCCGCCATGAGATCGTGTCGCTCAGCAAGCGCACCAAAGCCATCCACAAGAAGTGCCGTGAGTACCGCCCGCGGGCGCCGCGCTGTGCCGTGCCGCACCGGGCAGGACGTCCCTGTCCCTTGCAGCACTGCACGAGGAGCCCTACATCATGTTCTCCACCGAGAAGAAGTCCATGCTCTGCATCAACTGCTTCAGGGACATGCAGGGGTAAGTGTCCCCGTGTCCCCATATGCTTCCCCATGGCCACGGGTCCCAGCCGTGCCTTCCTGCCCGCCTCGCCACAGAGAGAGCCGCGCGCACTGCATTGACATCGAGACGGCGTACGTGCAGGGCTGCGAGAAGCTGGACCAAGCGGTGCTGGTAGGTGAGCGTGGGGTCAGGTGCAGGGCCACAGCAGTGCCACAACCTCCTTGCTGCCCCGCAGGCAGTGAAGGAGCTGCAGACATCCACACGGGAGGCCATCGTCCTCCTCAAGGCCATGATCGAGGAGGTGCGCAACAGTGCCAGCGAGGAGGAGTCAGCCATCAACGCCCTGTTCAGTGGCATGCAGGTGCGGGGCTGTGGGGCTGTGCCCATGGGTGTCCCAGCAGCTCCGTGCCCTGTAGAGTGGTGCTGGCATTGAGCTGAGCTGCAGGACAAAGTGTGCCCGTGCTGTTGGCAGGAGCAGCTCTCTGACAGAAAGAAAGCACTCTTGAAAGCTGTGCAGAGGTGAGAGGCTGCGGGGCCTCGGGTTCCCTCCTGGCGTGCACCGAGTGCCTGGGCAGCTCCTCACGGTCGGCTCCTGCTCTGCACAGCCAGCACGAGGAGAAAGAGAAGGCATTCAAGGAGCAGCTGGCCCACCTTGCCTCCCTGCTGCCCACCCTGCAGGTAGGGCCGGGCCGGGTCACTCACCCCTTGGTGTGCCAAGCCCTGGCTCTGGGCTGAGGGTCGGACAGACCCTGGGGAAGTGGCAGCAGTGACAGCGCTGTGCACAGGTCCACCTGGTGATCTGCTCAGCCTTCCTGAGCTCCGCCAACAAAGCTGAGTTCCTCGACCTGGGCTACGTGAGTAGAGCTGGCACTGCACAGTGTGTGGTGCCACGGTGCCAAGACCTCACACAGCCCCGACCCACCTCAATGCTGCCTTCCAGCAACTGATGGAGCGGCTGCAGAGGATCGTCAAGCTGCCGCACCGCCTGCGGCCAGCCCAGACCAGCAAGGTACCACGGGGCTGACCCCTGCCAACCCCCCCATGGGCAGCCCCAGCCCCAGCCCTGCCCCAGCCCCACTGTCCGTCTCACCCTGCAGATCAACACCGAGTACCGTGCAGAGTTTGCACGCTGCCTGGAGCCCCTGCTCGTGCTCACCCCTCGCCGCTCTGTGGTGGGCAGTGCTGGCGGCATTGGGTCTGGCATCACCGGTGCAAACATGTGAGGTGCTGGGGTGGGGTGGGCAGAGGGGCTGTATGCTGTGCCACGTGTTCCCTCCCGCATCGCTGCGTTGCCGTGCCCAGCTCACCCCCCTTCCCTGCCCTTGAGCCTGTCCCCATGAAGGTGGCACGGGGACAGCATAGAATGCAGCTGTGCTGATGAACGACAGGCACGGGGGCTTCAAGTGACAGTTCTGGGAATGGGGCAGGCAGTGCTGGCAGCGGCCACCGAGCAACACTGCGCAGTCTGCAGCCGCACCAAGGGCCATGCCGAGCTCCAGCCAGCGCCGTGCCAGCTCCTGCTCACCGCACACCCAGCTTCACCGCGGCCCCGCAGCCTCTTGGCCCGCCACTATTTTTATCAGAATTTCAGAGAAGTGCCCGGCCGTTCCTTGCTGGGATATATTTAGGCCCATTGATGTCACAGTGGCGCGGGCCCTGCCAGGCGCTGCCGGCTGCTCGTCCCGCGGAAAGGACAAACAGGCGCTGCCACCCATGGGCACTGCTCCTCGCACCCGGCCGGGCTCTGCGGCATGGGGCAGCTGAGCACCAGGACAACGGAGCTGCATAGTGGGACTGCAACCCTGCACGGTGGGATCGTGGCATTGCTTGATGGGGAAGTGGTGCTGCTTAGTGGGACTGCAGCGCTGCACGGGGCCAGCAGGGAGCCGGGGGAGGTGGTGGCAGCAGTAGGGGTGCAGGATGGGGCAGAGGTGGGCAGGGAACTCCTGCACAAATGTGGCTGCACCAAGCTGGCTCCTGCCTCCTTTGTGCCAGAGCTGAGCTGGGCAGTGAGCACCAGTGAGGGGCTTGTTATAGAAGCCTGATTTTGGGGCAGCACAACGTGCTTCCAACCAACCTGGGTACCCGAGTGCAGGAAGACACCAGGGGGGCGCTGGAAGTTTGTACCTCAGGGGTTGGATGTCCTCAGCCCTGGACGCGGTTCCAGCTGCAGGGAGCAGCAGGTCCCAGGGGCCGCCCTCTGCATCCCACCGCCGTCACCTCCATGCAGGATCCCCGGCGGCCAATGCTCCAAGACACTGATGGTGCCCGGCTGCCCCCCCGCTGGTGATAAGATGTCCAGCAGCTCCATGGTGCGGAAGCCGACGCTGCACCGATACATCAGCACCAAAGTGCTGCTGGCCGAGGGCCGCGAGACACCGTTCGCTGAGCACTGCCGCAACTATGAGAACACCTACAGGGTATGGGGCAGGCGGGGGGGGAGAGGAGGAAGCTCCTGACCCTCACTGCCCATTGCTGTGCGTCTCCCGTGCGTGCAGATGCTCCAGGCAGAGATCCAGGGCCTGAAGGACCAGGTGCAGGAGCTGCACCGTGACCTCACCAAGCACCACTCCCTCATCCGCACGGAGATCATGAGCGAGATCCTGCAGAAGTCGCTGCAGATGGATGTGCAGATTGCAGCCCACTACTCCTCGGTGGAAATGATGCGCAGCGTGTTTGAGGAGGTGCGGGGGCAGGATCCCTTCCTCCCTCCCCCAGAGCTGCGTGCCTGTGCCAGCAGCACCGGTTCCCGTTGCAGGTCTGGGAGGAGACGTACCAGAGGGTGGCCAACGAGCAGGAGATCTACGAAGGTATGGCTGACGGGCAGAGCCAGCCCAGCAGCAGCTCAGTGCTGCAGGGCACAGACACGGCACTCTCGTCCCCAGCCCAGCTCCACGACCTGCTGCAGCTGCGGCAGGAGAACAGCTGCCTGACCACCATCACCAAGCAGATCGCGCCCTACGTCCGCTCCATCGCCAAGGTGAAGGAGCGGCTGGAGCCCAGGTGAGCAGTGCGGGTGCTTTTGGTGCTGGGGCCCATCCCTGCTCCCCTTTCTATACCCAGACACGTCTGGCTCATCCTGCTGCAGGTTGCAGGAGCCCCGGGAGCCCAAGGATGAGCACACACAGATGCTGCTCAGGGTTGATGACAGCAGTGAGGCAGCACAAAGGTAGGTGACAGCCAGGGTCTCAGTGCAGACGGCTCAGGGCATGGGGATGCCTCATTCCAGCCCCTCGTGCTGGCAGCAGGAAAACCTTGGTGCCATCTGTGTCGCCCCACGCCTCTGGACGGCAAGGAGGAAAAAGCAAAGCGCTTTCAGGGGGTCAGGTGCCCTTGCGTGCCCTCTGAGCACAAGGGATCGGAGGGGATTAGAGCTCTGGAAAAGAGCTGCTTAACCCAGCGGGCTCAGCTGCCTGCCCCCGCCCTAGGGACAGCTCACCCGGCGGCACGGACAGCAGGGAGCGGGCGCTGGGCAGCCGAGGGGGCTGCACACCCGCTCTCATCCCCGGGGACTCACCCCCAAAGAAGAAGGAGCACCGTGGCAGCGCACAGAGCAGCGGGACGCCGAGCGCAGAGCGGCAGGAACCCCCCGGCTCCAGCTGAGCTCCGGGAGCTGCGCTGCTCAGCATCGGCTGTGAGCGACTGCGCTTTGCGGTCGTGGGAATGGTCAGCTGTGTGAGAGCTGCCCTGCGGAGGCACAGACCTGTGTCCAGCACGCCTGGATGCTGCCTGCTTTTGTCTGTTAGCGGGGGTTGCGCTTTTCCTCGTAGAATGTTCAAACACGTGGCTCGTGCCATCAGCAAGGATGGAAAAACAGGCTGAACGTGGCTGAGTTTGGAGTGTATTGCATAGCAAACATCCGGCTTAGGGTGACTGAAAGAAAATTCCTTTGTATTCCCCATCCTGTGTGTGAAAAGTGAAAATAAAAGTGCATAAATGGACTCTGCTCTTTGTTCTGGCCCAGGGCAAAGGGGTTTGCCAGGTCTTGTTGGTGCAGCCCTTCTCAAAAAAGGTTGAAACAATTGAAAAAAATAAATAAATTTGAGCTCACAAATAACTACACAGAAATCACCACTACCTGGTTGTTATATTTTCATGTTTGTTCTTCTCCTCCAAGCTAAAAACACAGTAAAAGAATCTGTCAGTGAACGTTTTAAGCTGATACCCAGTGCAGAAAGCGCTCTGTAATACAAAGCACAACCCCAAGAAGAAAGGGTTCCACGCAGGTTAAGCAAGTGGAGCCCAAGGATTTGCACCTATCTCACCAGCTACGAGATTCAGCTACTGGGAGTTGTAGTCATACTTCAGTGTAATGCTGCAGAGCACTGAAAACCCATTGGGAGTTACAAAATGAGGAACTCAAGGTTTGATGCTCTGACCGTCACCTCGAGGTCCCCCAATAACAACCAGACAGAAGTTGGCCATTATTTTTTTTTCCTCTTTTATAAAAAAAGTCACAAAAGCGATTCCCATCAGTGCCCTCTTTCCTGAGCTGAATCACAGTATCTTGCCAGGAATACTGCAAGCCCAAAGCGTGCTGACAAGCGACTCATTTCCATTCCAGCAAGGAAGAACTACGTAAAACCCAAGAAAACAGTGAACCTCTTTGGTATATCACAACTGAATAAATTATACCACAAAGCTTGAATAGGAACCATTCCCAAAATGGCAATGTTTAAAATAGCATTAGCTAGCCAAACTTTTTTTGTTTATAGAGAATTTCCCTGGAAGCTTCTCCCATCCATACCAGCATCCCAGGTTTTCCCCCAAACCAAGCACTACAGCTCTCTGGAAGCCCCCTCCCGACTCCAAACCAAAGCCCCGGGATCTCTGGGGACAGAGCTGGCCAGCAGAGACGCCTGGCAGGGCAGGAAGCAGCGTGATTTGGAAGCAGGTCTTGGACGAGCACCGTCTGCACGCGCAGAGCAGACACAGCAAGGAACGGCCGGGTGGCTCCTGAGCTCACTGAGAGAAACGAGAGCCGCTCATCCCCCCGGGCACGGCGTGGAGGTGCTGGCAATGCGAGAGTGCCAGGAGCATGGGGGAGCTCCATCAGCAGCATCAGGGGAGCCCCGATGCGTGCCGTGCCGCCAGCTGACATGCAGACGTTCCACAGACCGGTGCGTCCGACAAGACCAGGGAGGCGTGCTCCTGCAAGCTGCCCGAGAAGCAGCCAGGGGCTTGCAGGACCAGGCCTCCAGAGATTAAAGCTGTGCTGTCTGGCTTGTGAGGTCAAAAAGCTTTAAAAATGTATGCCATCAGAACGACAATCCAGCTGGCATCTTTCCAGCGCAGGGGTGGAAGGGCAAAACTCATTCTCCAGAGGAATCAGTCCACATGAGCTTCAGTACAATTCAGCTGTTTTAGGCAGGAGGATCGTTTCTCTTTAAGATTGCTATAGGCTAAGTTATCCAGAAGATCCCTGAATGTGCAACGGAGGACTCTTATCTCGAGGAGGATGAACGAGCTGCTGATCTCCTAGTGACCTGGAAGGCCGCCCAGCCCTGCAGCCCTCAGCGAGCGGACAGCTGGGAAATGGGAGCAGGCTGCTCGGCGCCAGCACTATGCATAGTTCCTCACCCAGAGCTGGAGGTTTTCTCAACCGGTCCAGTTCCAGCCCGTGCTACAGTTCCACTTTCACTCCTTTAATAAAAGGGAGACCCGATGGCACCTTCCTTTTGTACTCCAGATATTCCTCTCCAAAAAAGTGAATGAGCGTGATCTCCTCCTCTTCTATCCTCTCCCTGAAGAAGCGCCATGACGCTAACGTGTAGCCGACCACGCAGATGGGATTGCAGAGCAACACCTGCCAGCAGACAACAGCAGTTAACGCCCCTTGGGCTCCACCACGGCCCCATCCCCACAGGGCGCCGACGCTGACAGCCCGCGGTTCTGGCACATACAGGTTTGGGGCAGCATTAACAAGCAATCAGATCATAGGAGGAAAGGATCCGAGGGTTTTGCATACAGTACCTGTGTTCCAATACTCCAGTAAAACCATCCCACGTAAGACGGGTGCCGGAACCACCCATACACCCCACTTGTCACCAAAGTATGAGTGTCCGATTTCTCATTCTGAACAATATGGTTGAAGTTGGAGCCAGCTGTGAGCATGGCAGCTTTCCTCAGACAATCCCCAAAGATCACCATCAATAACCCTACAGTACTCAGCCAGGTGATCTGCTTCATCTCTGCAAGTGAAGAAGCACGGGTCACTACAGGTTCGAGCAGGGGGCTCCGCGCTGAGGGCAGGGGGTGCAGGCGGGACCCCAGGGAGGGCAGGCAGGGTCACAAAGGTGGCAGGGCTTCTGCCCCACCTCAGAGCAAAGCAATGACCATCGCACAGGCTGTGCTCAACGCGCTGCCGCTCTGCAACAAGAAAAGCATCAGCTGCTGCAGCCCTGCCCCTTAACTGAGTGAACAGCACCGTCTGCAGCACACAGCGCTGCCACTCTGAGAGACACAGCATGAAGCAGGCCTGGCTTTGTGTTGTGAAGCAAAGCTCAGGCAGAGCAGAGCTCACCCAGCAATCCTGGGGTTCAGCAGGAGGCTCAGCAGCCTGGCATTACAGCCACCTCCACTGCAGGGGAAGGACAGCACCGCCCTCCACCAAAAAGCAAACGGATTTGCAGACACACGTAATTTAAGTAAGGCTATTTCTATTAGCAGTACAGCATGACAAGCGTGGCCAGAAGCACCATCCAAGCACATGAGCGGGCGTGTGGGGACCACAGCACGGGGCTGAGGCTGACCTGGCAGCAGGAGCTTCTCCAGCGTGAACTCCACCCAGGAGGAGAGCGCCGCCAGGTTGTACTCGAAGCTGTGGTTGAGCAGGAAGGAATCCAGCGAGAGACTGCGCGGGTTGTTGATGGCCGTCACCAGGTACTCGGAGTAGTGGAACAGCGACAGCGAGCACATGTACCTGCGGGGGGAGCACCGCGGGGCCCGGGGGTCGCTCGCATCTCGGCCCTGGGGCCCGGTGACCCCTCCTCTCCCGGTGCGGCCCCCCCAGCTCTGCGACACCCCTCCTCCGTTCCCGGCGCCCCCCTCGGAGCACCGCCCAACCCCCCCCATAGCCTCTCCCGGCCCTCACCAGCCGAAGTGCCGCCACGCGGAACGGCCGGCGCTCAGCAGCAGCCCGCAGCCGAAGGCGAAGCCCAGGAAGCCGGCCCGGATGGCGATCTGCAAGCAGAGAACAGGCAGCGCGCTGCCGTCGGCCCCGAGGCCCAACCCGGCGCCCCCCGCACCGCCCCGCCCCACACCTTGTACAGCGGCCGCGGGTAGAGCAGCAGCAGCGCCGCGTTCACGACGGCCACGTGCAGGGCGAGCGCCAGGCGGCCCCGCAGGCCCGGCGCGGCGAGCAGGGCGGGCGGAGAGCCCAGAGCCAGCGGCAGCGCGGCCACCGAGGCGCCCAGCAGGAAGGCGGCCAGACTGGCCCGCGCCTCCCGGCCCAGCCGCCCGCGCCGCCACCGCCCGGCCGCCTCCGTCGCCGCCATCTTGGCGGCACGCCCCGCCCCGCCCCGCGTCGCCCTGGAAACGGCCGCGCGCGCAGCTCGACGCCCTCGCCCGAGTTCTCGCGAGACGACCCGCCCGGCGGCGGCGTTCTCGCGAGAGAGCGAAAGCCCGCGCCTGCGCGGTCGCTGGGGGACGCCGCTCGGAGCGCGCGGAGCCGCCCCGCCCGCAGCTCTGTGCAGCGTTTTTTATTGAAAACTGAAAAACACGAACGGCGAAAAGGAGCGCGGCCGAGCTGCGGGCCGAGCTGCCGGCGAACGGCGCCCTCCCTCGGGCCGTGGCCCCGCGCCGCGCCCTATGAGGCCGAGCCGATGGAGTCCGACAGGAAGGTGATGTACCCCGAGGAGGCGGACGGCGAGCTGAAGAAGCTGCTGGTGCTGCCCCGCCCGCCGTCCCCCAGGCCCGGCCGTGCCGCCCAATGCTCAGCGCCCGGCCCCGCTCGCCGCGCCCGCCCCGCGCAGCCCCCGGCCGGCATCGGGACTGGGAGCCGCGCCGGGTCCTCTGACGGCTGCCCCGGTACCGCGAGGCCGAGCGGCCGCCGGGGCTCCCGCTGGAGAGCGGCTAGGGGGAAGGCGGAGAGCAGCGCCCGGTGCTGCGCCGCCGCGGGCAGCAGTGCCACCGAGGCCGAGCGCCCCGTGCCGCCCGCCGCCCCCCGCTCGCTGCCGAACGCGTGCAGCTCGGCCAGGCGAAGGTCCTCGCGGGAGAGGTGCGGCGGAACGGCCAGGCTGTCGGCGGAGCGGCGGCGGAAGGCGAGCCGCTCGTCGGGGTGGGGGCTGAAGCCGTGGTGGGGCCGGTCACGATGGGGGGCCAGGAGCCGGGCCAGCCCTGCCGCCTCTCCGCCCGGCCCCCAGTGCTGCAGGTATGCCGCGACCTGGCTGCTGGTCCACAGGTCTGTCTCGTCGTGAGAGAAGCGACGCAGTGGGGGCACCTGTGAGAAAGCATTGTTAGCACTGGGGGCTGCGGCTCCGCTGCCCCAGCACCCGCCACCCACCCTCACCTGCAGGTACTGCATGCGGTCCCCCGGCTCCGTCCTGGCAGGGCTCACTGGGGGCAGGCTCTGCTCCAGCACCGAGAAGTCACGTGTGGCAATAGGGTCCAGCACCAGGACCTCAGCCGCGCAGCCATACTCGTAGGGGCGGTCGTACACCAGCTCTCCTGCCACGGCCACTGCACCCTCCAGGCTGCTCTCTGACAGGAATGGGTGCGCTGTCATTTTGGGCACACCCTGCCCTCAGCGCGTCCCCCCCTGCCACGCACCCCACCTTCGTCCTCATCTTCGTTGGCCAGCACGGTGCGGCACTTCTCGCAGACAGCACGCGGGTTGGCACGGTAGCGGTCGCAGGCCCAAAGGAAGAGGGGCAGGAGCAGGGACTGTGCCAGCGAGCACCAGAGGAGACACAGCACCATCCACTCGGAGGAGGTGTCCGAGCGCAGGCTGGCAGCGCTCACCACCTGTAGCACCAACCCGTCACCAGCAGCCCCACACGCCCGCACCCCTTCCCTGTAGCACTCACCAGTACTGGGAAGCCCATCAGGATGTCATAGATGAGGACAACGATGGTGATCAGATAGGTGATCTGCAGGGAGGTCTTGACAGACTCGGATCCGTCAATGGAGGAGCGCCGCTTGCCCTGGGCGTCCTCCACCACGATGCTGGGCACATGGAAGCGGCTGTTGCTGGCATCGGGGCCGCGTCGACCCAAGACAGTGTGGAAGAGAGCAATGCCAATGCAGACGGCACCAACAGCCATACTGCCCCCAATGAGGAGCAGGAAGCAGACGCCAAAGCCCAGGCCAATCTCTGTCACGACGAAGCGGCAGTCCCTGGCGTAGAAGCGCTCGGTGGTGTCGTGCCACCCCACTGCCGGCAGAGTGGAGAGGATGAAGGAGACCATCCAGATGCCCATCACTGTGTGAACGGCTTGCTTCCGTGTGTTGCTCAGCCTGGGGAGAGGGGCAGAGCCCACGGAGTGCTAAGCACAGTGGGGTCTGCATGCCAGTGCTTGCTGCCCTCTCCCTGGGCTCCGGCACAAGCACTGAATCTCGCCTGGGGATGTGATATGGGGCAGATCGGGCCGAGGTACCTGTAGTTGACAGGCCAACGGACCATCCACATGCGATGGTAGGAAAGGGAGGTGACAGAGAAGCAGGTGACCAGTGTCAGGGTGTAGAAGGTGGAAACAAAGACCTTGCAGAGCCCCTCGTTCCACTCGTAGCCTGAGTGCCACCGCCGGAGCTGCACCACAGCGTATGTGGTGATGGGGATGGCAGTGTTGAGGATGTGGGTGCCCGCCAGGGAGCACAGCAGGAACTCCAGCGGCTTCCACTTCTTCTGCTTGGCACTGATGCTGAGGATGCCCCAGGCGTTGGCGAGCAGCGAGACGCCGGCACACGCCAGCCAGGCTACCGCATTGCCAGGCAGCTGCTGCTCATTGTGCATGGTGGAGGGATGGGGCACCATCGGCAGGGCGCTGCGGGGCTGCGGCCGGAGGCATCCTAGGGCACGCTGCGCTCCATTGGGCGGGCAGTCCTGGCTGCTGCCAAGGCCAACACCTGCAAGTGAGTGAGGCTGTCAGCAGCACCACAAGGCACCCCGCAGTGCCACCACAGCCCGGCCGGCTTTTCCCCACCGAGGAGGCGCCTGAGCTCACGGTGCCCGCCGGCACTGCGGGCTCTCGGCTATAATTAGACTCCTAGGGATGGAGCGGCGAGAGGCACTGCTGGCACAACCGCCTCACCCTGGGCACGGGGGGCTGCCCGTGTCCCCGCACTGTGATTGCAGCGCAGTGCTCAGGGACCCCGCACGGGGCACAGCTCAGCACCCAGAGCTGCCCGCACGGCTGCCAAACGTCAGGAGCTATTCTGGGCTTTCCATTAGAAGATTTTCTCTCTTAAAAATAACTATAGGAAAACCAGCCTCCAGAGCCTGCTGTGCCGACAAGGGAAGCCCGCAGCCCACGCCGCCGGCGCCCCGGGAAGTTCCCGAACACCCCACATCCGCGGTGCCGGCCGCGTGGGTCGTGCAGGGGCTGCTCCTCCACGCGTGACAATCCCCGCACGGGGGCACCACTCGGCCGTCCCCGAGGGGCTGTGCAACGCGCTGAACAAAAAGAAGGAACAAAAAAATAAAAAGAAGAGGGGAAAAGCATCCGCTCTTATGTAACCGCGGCCCCTCCGCATCCCCCCGCGCGCGTCTCGAGGGATTTCGGGGCGCGGGTGACACCGCCTGGAAGCGCCCCGGTGCCAACCGCCTCGGCGGACCGCTGCGCGGACGGTCAGCGGACGCTCCGTCCTCCGCGGATGCTCCGGAGCCGGCAGCCCCCCTCGCTCCCCCCGCAGCCCGGCCGCGCCTCCCGCTCCCCGCCGAATCTCGGCACCCCCGCACGGCTCGGGCCCCCCGAAAGGACCCGGGCGGCCCGGAGCGGGGAGGCGTCGTCGGGCAGAGCTCCGCTGCCTCCCCGCGGGCCGCACGGAGGGGCCTCCCGGCCGCAGCGCCGCTCTCCCGGTCGCTCTCCCCCACGGCCGCCACCACCCCCCGCCCACCCTCGGCGCCGCCGCCCCCCGCCCGGCACCGGAGCCCCGCGCTCCTCGGCTGCCCGACGGCGGGTGCACCCTGCGGGCGGCGGGACGCCGCGGGTGCCGGGTTCGGTGCCGGTGCCGCCCCGCCCGTACCTGCCGCCGCGGGCGTAGCGCAACCCGGTGCCTTGCCCCGCCGCGGGGCTGCCGCCCGCACCGAGCCGAGCACCCAGCCGGGGCCGCGGCGGGCGGGCGGGAGAAGCACGGCGCATGCCTCGGCACCGCCCGCCGCGCCGCACGGGCACGGACCCCGGCCCGGCCCCCGCCCCCCGAGCGGCCCCGGCAGCGGCCGCCCGAGACCCGGTGGGAGCCGCAGCTCCGCCGCTCGGCTCCCCGCTCCCGCGGGAGGGACAGGGACCGCCGAGCCCCCTCCTCTGACCCGTCCCGCCCCCCGCTGCGTACCGCGACCCCCACCCGGCTGCTGTTCGCCGGGCCCGCCCGTAGGACCGGGGGGGTTCCGACCGCCCCCAGGGGGGCGTCCGCGGCTCGGAGCACGGCCTTTGGAACAAGCTCCAAAGCAGCACCGCCGAGAACAAAAAAAAAGTGACACCCGTTTTATTTCAGTCAAAGATGACAGACTTTATTTATGTCACAGTATTCCTTAAATAACTCGGATGCACATAGAGAAACTACCTAGAGATTTCAATGGAATGGGCTGAGACATTCAATACAATACTTGGTCGCGTTTATAGCTGCGAGTATCATAAATAAGCTTTGGTGTACGTTTTTAGGACATACTGTAAGTGTAACACAGCATCACAAAGACTCGAGGCCTCGTGCGTCCCTCCTGCCGCCACGTGCGCCCGCACCGCTCCACACAGGCAGCTGAAACCACAACGCAGGGCTCGGAGCGACAGAGGGATGCAGATGCTCCCGGCAGAGCGCGCAGGAGCTCCTGAGCCGTCCAAACCACGGGGTGAGGGTGGAAGCGGCACAGCCGGCCCTCCTGCAGCGCCAGGTCCGCACACGAGCCCTGCTCCGGCGGCACGGCCGCGGCACGAGGCCCCGCACACGCAACAACAACACGAATGGGGACGGGGAGGTTTGGCGGGGCGGCGCGGGGCCATCAGTGCTGGGCAGCCTGCTGCATCTGCGCCTGCCGCTTGGCTTTTGTCTGCAGGTATCGGCCCTTCCCTTCCTCAAAGCGCCTCTTCTCCTCCTCGCTCTCCGTCTGGCAGAATGAGAAGAAAGCAGTGCCACGAGCATTAGCTTAATTAGCAGCCGAACGGGCAGATCTGACGCGTGGGCAAATTGACACAGCCTGCTGGATCGATACATGCAGCTCCCTCCCAGCTGTCGGGCTCAGCGTCGCCCACAGCAGCGTCTGGAGGCTTGGCTGCATCCTCGTGCTCTGAGCTCCGGTGGGCACGCACCCACCACAGCCCCATATTGCAGCCCCACCGCCCCGATGTGCTCCCCTGCAA